TAGGTAGAGGCTGTGGGGGAGGGGTGTGGAGATGGAAAGTTGCAGACAGAGAGGCAGATAAAGGTAGGTTGGCTGTTGGGTGGGAAGGAAATTGTGTTGCCAACTCCAGGTTGGGAAATTCCTGGACATTTGTGAGGTGGAGCCTGGAGAGGGTGGGATTGGAGGAGGGAAGGAACTACAGATAAGTATAATGCCATAGCTGGAGGAGAAAAAGAAAAAGGGGGGGGGGCAGAAGGGGGAAAGAGGGTGAGAGAGGTAGAGGGAGACAGGAGGAAGAAAAGGTGTGAGGAATAGGATAATCATCCTGCAAGTGTCTTGCGGGTCTCCACTTGTAGGTCTATAATAATAAGAGACTGCCAGCATGTGTTTTACATGTTCATTTCCTAAAGATATTCAAAGGTTTGCAAACTTTACTCAGTGAAATACTAGGACATACACAGTTTAATGTTGAAAGCAAACAGTGTTTTCTGTGGGGTGTCCTGGTGCCGTTGGTAAAATTTGAAAGATTTCTAAATTACTTCAGAAACCTGTAATCCTGTTTTATCAGTGGCAAAAGTGGAATGAGTATACACTGCTCATTCAAAGTGTCTTCAACTCTCATAAAATTATGATCTGTTTCCAGCCTGAATCTTTAGCAAAAACATACTATACAAAAAATGAATTGGCTCTTGCATTCTAACTTGAGTGCAGTAGTAAACTGTTATTTTTATTGCACGGTGGGTAATAGCTAAAAATCATACATACTCCTTCCATGGGCAGAAGTGTCATTTGCAAGTGGACAAGGAAGGTAGTGCATGAGAGGAGGACATTACGGATTTTGAAGGTGCTTTTAACATATTTATTCTTATTTTCAATCCTTAAATATAGTGGATGTCTATTAGGAGAGATGCAGGTAGTTGCTAGAGACATCTGAACAAATAAGACAATGAATGTGTTAAAAAAAAACAACCAAGGGACCGGGGGAACATTTCTGGAGGCATAGAATGTTCTTAAGATTTCAGTTAGTGTGTATTAAAGATTGTCAGTCAAAATGAGCAAAAAACAAAATTTCCCTAACAATATGAAGTGCACAAGACAGGGTTTGGACAGTTGTTGAATTATTTTGAGGCAAAAATTAGAAGAAATTAACTTTTTTATCCCTTCATTTATTTTTAAAATGTAATCTGATCACATTGTTTTTCTTAAAACAGTTAGGAAGGTTTAGATGATGATTGAAAACAACAGACAGTGTATGTCCAAATCCAAAATACTGTACTGAGGAAGACCTGTGCTCCATGAAGCTACTACTTAATCAAGATGAGCTTTATTGAGCAGCTAAATACAAGTGTATTTAGTTCTTTGTGTTCCATATTTGTTCACTAAAGTTTGCTTTTTTAAAACACTGCTTGGATTAAAAAAAAAAAAAAGACTAGCAGTTCCTTTCCCTGACGTTTTCTGAACACATCAGTTCTAAGGCACAAGGCTTAGGTTGCATCATTTGAGCATTCTCGTTCCTGTGTAAAGTGTGTACTAGGATATCACTACCATGATTTCTTTTGTAGGAGGCTAGAATAGGATAAAATAGTCCTTAAATGTACTGCATTCTCCAGTTTTTTGATTTCTAAAATCTCTGAAGTTTATCTCATTCACTGTATATTTGAGATACAAGTTTCAAGACCTTACTGTGCCCTGGTTGAAACACCACACTGACTGCAGTCATCTTCTTCTTTTCTGTCCTTCCCCCACACTAGGAACAGTTTCTCCCAGTAGACAGAATCCAGGGCTTCATGCCAATATTGTATAATTGTGTAAACTTTGCATATGGTGAGTCACCATACAGCAATACACATGGTTGGATTCATCGTTTTTCATTTTCCTGCTCTAATCTGACCATCCTTTGTTCTTTTCTTTGTAGACATACCTGTGTTTCCTACCATCACAGCCACTGTGACTTTTCAGGAATTTCGTTATGATGAGTTTGATGAATCAATCTTCACAGTTCCCGATGACTACAAGGAGGACCCTAGCCGTTTTCCTGATCTTTAACTTAACTGGAAAGTTAACAGTGAATAAAGAATACCAGCATGCCACAGTGAAAGAGCGGATGCAAATAGCCCACAGATGTATGTCTGGAAGTGGGTGAAATTGGAAGGGATAAACTTGCTTAAGTGAATTCAGAAAGGGAACACACAGTGAATCTCAGTAGGTTGTACTATATAGCAAGCATCCATGTAGTGTCTAAATGGCAGCAGATATCCTGATGTGTCACTTGCATTTTTATAAATCCTGCAAGCATGGTAGCCTGGCACCTCAGTGATCCCCCATGGATACTTACATAACAGCTATAAGGACTGTAACTATTTTTAAAATTTTTACGTTTCTTCTTGGTAATAAAAAGCACTCTTGGACCATTAGCATAAACTGAAATGTCTTATCTGGATAGTAAACCCTTTAAAACATCCATCTTACTCAAGATGTCCTTAATCTTCCTTCATGCTTTTTTAACATAAAGTATGTAATAGTTCAGTAAATTAAATGTTGGTTGAGCAAGTAGTAAAAGAAATTAATTTTATGTAGATGAATGAACCAAATGGTAACCACTTTAAACAGTTGCATTTACATACTGCAATACATTTCCAAACTAGAGCATTCACTCTGCAGGGAATAAGGTACCTCCTTTAGCACCTTTAGTGCAATTCATTGTGGTGCTACCCATATTTTTACCCGAACTGCTAATTTCTCCACTGAAAATTGTTTACTAATAGTCTCATGAAATCTGCAGATGTTATTTTTTTTCAAGGTTGTTGGAAATGTCCTTGCTGTGTTTGATGTTGGAGAGCATGCATGGGAGAATTCTTCATTTGCCCTGAAGGCTGAATTGCTGGCATTCTTTTGGGTATATCCGATTTGTTGAAGCTGCCCATCAGGCAAACAAACTAGTATTGATGTCCAGCAGTATATGGGAATAGGCTAAATATTCTTGGAAATTATCCCCCCCCCCCAACTGAATAAATTGAGATAGTTGAAAGGGTCTTAAAATGGTTAAAAGAAAAACATATATAAGAAAAATTAGCACGGTTCCAACAGGAGTGGCTAGAGAAAGAAGAATGTTTTCTTGGATGATTACTTCTAAAAATTAGGATCTTCGCATGGTTCCAATCTATGAAACTTGAAGATAACGTAGCCTTTTTGCTGTACTGGAAAGAGTGCTTGTATACCAAGGATGTCAGTAATGTGTGTCATTTGTATTCAGAGATTTAGCTTCCAGTGATGTGTAAATGTACAGAAATGTAAATATTTTCAAAACTATATTCTTTGTGCCGTCTAGTCAATCTACTTCTCCCCTGTAAACTGCTGAAGTCACTTTTTGACTTGAAGAAAACCACCATGCTGGGTAACCCCATCCAGTGCTGGTGATAACTTGGAATGTGAAAAGGGTGAGTGAGTCACTGTGCAATAAAATCAGACTCATGAGCCACATACGATTTGTCAGGAAAACCGTTCAGAGAATATTCCCCAAGTGCTGTAGCTTTGTATTAATGCAGCGAGGCAGTTCCAGAGTACTCTCATGACCTGAAATGGGAGATGTTGGGCTCACTTCCAGAAATATTGTAAACTTATTAAACTTCAACCATAAACAGTCCTTATAGAAGACAGCTCTGTTGAATGCAGCCTCTGTTGGCTCTGTGCAGAGTTGTAGCTATAATGTTGTAGTGAGTATCATTTAATTTTCCAATATCCATTATGAGAGTTGCAGCCTGCCCTGTGTAAATAAGTGATGGCTCATCTTCAGTCTTCTGTGCAATCCCACATTGGGACTACGCTTGTGCAGGCCAGCCACTGGAGACTCTCTTACAGCTACTTTGGGTTTTTCTATCCTCCAAGGGGAGCCCCTCTCCCGCAGAGCTTGTTAGAGGCCGTTTTCCTGCCTAATGGTCACATGCTCTGCAGGGAGGAGCTCCCCCTTTCCTGCAGTTCTTTCTTCGCTGCTACATTGTGAGGATGTGTTCTCTACAGCTCTGGGTACTGTGAGTTTTTCTCAACGTTTCTTTGCTTCTGGACTCTTTCTCTGGGAAATGTCACAGAAGGCTTTATTTTAAAAATGTACCCAGTGTAGTACAAAAATGACTCACTCTGGTGAGCACCTTCTCTGCCTGTTCTGCTTGGGTGAGGACCATAATACAGTCATGTGCAAGATCTGCCTCCAATTTACTCTGAAAGCCTGCTCAGATTGTGCAGCACGCTTAAAGGCATGTTTATGGGAGAAAGCGCTCTCGTTCTAATAGCCCAGCAGTGGAAACATCTGCCCTGGCACAGTACAGTCAATCCTTGCCTTCGAAATCACTGGTTATAGCCCCGACTTGGATAGCTCAGGCAAACCCAATCTCGTCAGATCTTGGAAGCTAAGCAGGGCCGACCCTGGCAAGTAATTGGGAGACCTCCAAAGAATACCAGGGCTCAGGGACACAAAGGCAGACTATCAAGCCACCTCTCTGAAAAACATCCAAGCCCCCAGTAGCGGTTGCCAGAAGTTGCCATGATTTCCAGGGATGCAAGCACATACATGCATGCACACACACACAAAAAAACCCACAAAGAAAGAAGAACTCACCGGTTAGAACTCACCAATTTGCAAGTCTTCCATCGAGCGTTTTGATTCCGGAGACCGAACTGAAATGTTGGGACCGATCACCCATTCGCTCAACTGAATGCTGTGCGTTGGAACTCCCACGTAAGAAAGCACGTTCCAAGGCCAAACTTAAGGAGAAGCAGTGTTTTGACAGAATGGAGGGGAGTTTCCTCATCACAAACTCCTTCTCTGCATGCCTTCCTGGCTCATTTGCTGTCTGAAGGGGAATTGGAACCTGGCCAGGGCATTTTGGCAGTTCCAGCAGCTAGTCGCCCATTGGAACCATCCTGGCCCTGTGGCAGAGTTCTATGCCTCTGCCTCCTTGGCAATGCTACCCTTATTATTTTCCATCTCCTAGACATCAAAAATGGAGTGACTGGTGGTCACGAAAAGCACCTCTGGAACTGAGGCACCTGTCTTCACGGCACTGTGATGTTGTGGGTCTGCCAGTTTGGTATCCTGCAATCTCTCCTCACCACCTTATAGAGCATTTGGATTCAGACGAAGAGCAGGCTTTGAGGACTAACTCCCCTTCTGGTCTGGGCTCAGACTTACCATCAGACCCTTCCGCTGATGATACTGTAGGGTACCCGGATCCAGTGTCACCTAATGAAGAACTAAGCTCTGTGTGGAGCAAGTGATGTGAATGGCTAAGTCGCTGGAAACAGAGGTGACCACCAGCAAACCAAGACCTCAAGACAAGATCTGAGGCAAGCTCTATGCATAGTTACCTGGTATAAACACCTTTCCTATCCTGGAGGGTTCCTCGCCAGCTGAGAGAGGTGAAAGATTGATGCACTTAGTAGAAAAGTTTGCTCTTCTGCTGCACTCAATCTGCACATTGCGAACTATGGTGCAATTATGGGAGGATGCCAGTAGTTCCTCTGGGAAAAGATGGCTGCTTATATAGAGCTTCTACTTGAAGACAAGAAACTTTTGGCTAAACTTTTCCAAGCAGAAGCATCGAGCCTTTTCAAGCTACAGAGTAATGCAGGCAGACACTCCGCTGATTCCTCCTCCTGGGTCATGGCTTCAGCATTTGTACTGAGAGGGCATGCTTGGCTGCACTCCATGGCTCTCCCTCCTGATGCCAGGCAGAAGGTGGAAGACCTCCCATTTTTTTCTCAATGTTAAAAAGTTCAAAATGTTGACATTGGAGTTAGTCCTACAACTGTTAACATTAAACTGTTGGTTTTGTGTACCTGACTTTCAGGACACCTCGCTTATCATGAGCTCCTGCGCTTTAAATATAATGTTTCTTTTTTTAAATAATCTTTTTATTAATTTTCCAAAACTCAGAAAGACAGAGAGAAAGAAAGAACATATCTCTTCATATCACTTCATACAACAAAGTATTGTAACATAAAAAAAGAAAACAGCCAAATATTACTATTAACTCATAATATATTTTGTGCCCAACTTGAATTTAATGCCTGTACCCATTAATTTCCTATTCCATCTATATATCAACCCCTAGTTCCAGCTTAATGTAACTACTACTACCTCTATACAAGTAACATATTATATTTCCCTTTGGTGTAGCCAGTTTGGTGTAGTGGTTAAGTGCACGGACTCTAATCTGGGAGAACCGGGTTTGATTCCCCACTCTTCCACTTGCACCTGGCTGGATGACCTTGGGCAAGCCATAGTTCTGATAAGAGCTGTTCTTGAAAAAGAGCAGTTTCTGTCAAGAGCTCTCTCAGCCCCACCTACCTCACAGGGTGTCTGTTGTGGGGAGGGGAAGGGAAAGGAGTTTGTAAGCCAGTCTGAGACACCTTTCGGTAGTGAAGGGCAGGGTATAAATCCAAACTCCTCCTCTTCTTTCTTTAGTTTCAAATAAAAAGCAACAGCATAGCCAAAAATGTTCAAAGCACTAAACAGGGATTTTCCAATATCTTATTTTTTATACTAAAACAGCAAGCCTCCTACCATCCTTTATCTTTCCAAAAACTAAATTAAAGTACTAATAATGCTTATAAGTTGGCACTAAGTAACCCGAGAAAAAGCAAGCCATGGTAGCAAATTTTCAACATTCCAGCGTTTATAACTACCATTGTTTTAAATTGCCGCCGAGCAATTCTATCATTCAATATATATTACCTAATTTTACTACTCTATACTACATATCTATTTCCTAACATACTCTTGCTTAGACACAATAAATGCAAACTATACTATTACCGGTTGTACCAAATCTTATTTTCCTGTACTTTCTAAAGCAAATCGCTCATAATTAGGAAACTTAAATATTTTGCCCATTTCTCAGAACTGCTACCACTGTTTCATTTTCACTCAATACCCAAAACTTCTTTCTTTATATTTCTATTACTCACTCGCTCATTTCCGCATGTCCGTATTTTTAACACAATTTAGTCACATGACCACGGAAACATCTTCGGACAGCGCTGGCTCTTCGGCTTTGAAACGGAGATGAGCACCGCAACCCTAGAGTCGGATTCGACTGGCTTTCAAGCAAGGGAACCTTTACCTTTACTACACCAAAATATAACTCTAGACATATCAGTACTATCTATGTTCCTTTATCCTTTTATAACCTTTTACCTTGTTACATTCTTTTGTATTTATTTTAACCTTGTATCAAGTATCCTGCCATTCTTTAAATATATAAACATCTTAATATTAATAATAATTGTAAGTTTTAAATGAACAGTCCAAAAAACAGGACATAATTGTAAATTTTCTGCGTTCCAACCTGATAATACCGTGATTTTAAACACTTTATAGGCACCGAAAAGTTTCATATCGTTCATCACTTATTACCTTAATCTACTACTTAGTGCTCAATACCTATTTCCTACCATACCATGCCTTGAACCGATAAACTATAAATTGTACTACTGCTAAATACACCCAGTCTTTACTTTGCTGTACTTTTATGATAACTCATGATAACTAAACTCAAATGTTTTTGTCCTTATATTCATGATATTCTGTTTGCATTTTTCCCCTCATCTGCTTTGCCAGCTTCCGCTTCAGTTTTCTATTATTGCTATTTCTTTTAACTGAGGAACAACTTGTTTTCTTTTTCGCCACCCTGCTTTCTTCTCCGTTTGGTTGTTCTCCCACGCCTCTTTTTAAGTCTTGCCTTCCTAGAGCTTTTAAGGAGTCTCTTTGTGCCACACCTTGAATCCTCAAGTAATGAAACTATGTCTTGTTTCACCTTTTCTTGGGTGTAATCTCGTTCATTCCTAAGGTTTTCAAAAATATCCTGTGCCTGCGATGGGTGCGTCTCATTGATCTCATTAGTCCATTCCACGTTCGTTTTCACTAACCTATCAATGCTTTTAAGGAGGCTCTTTGTGCCACACATTGAATCCTCAAGTACTGCAAATATGACTTGTTTTCC